TATATATATAAAGATGGGTCCTAAGATTGAACCCTGCGGGACACTATGTTCAATTGTCGATATATAGAAAATATGACTAAATAATGTTCTTTCGTGAGGCACTTCAGTTGTGTAACGTTAAAAAAACTGATACATATTCAGTACTTATGTTTAATGGTTAAGATGATATTTTGCATTTTATTGTGGATTGCCACCCCTCATTGTTTTCTGACAATCTTGAAGCCCAGTTTTGGGTTTTCGGACGTGAAAATCTACTTGATGTCCAATAATTTTCTGCAATCAATTTTTAACAAACTTGGTGAGGTACACAATTTCCACACAGAGTGCATTTTTGTTATACTTACTAATACATGTCGCGTTGTTGCTACATAATTGCAGTATTATTGGTAAAGAAAACAGGTGAGTATGTTTTATCGAAAAATTAATTGTCTCACACTAATTGCTAGGTAAAGTACATCTACTTTATAATTTTTGATAGAAACTTTTTGCGTAGTCTGCAGATATGCTATACTTTGAAACCATACATGTGTTATTAAACTATTTTTATTTTGCTTTTGTAAAAGCTTGCAAGACACCATTGTTACCAACAGAACGAAATTTCGTAAAGAATCGCTATCCCGAAGCTATGAACTGACACGGTTGACATTTAGCGGGAATCACGTGATTCACAAACAGATTGAGATACAACTTGTGTCCGTGTTGACCTCGAACGGCTGTGTGAATGGGTGCCGTGAGGTTTTGATACAAGTACAACAAATGTATTTTTTTATCAATCAATTGGTGATCGTGTTGTTTGACAGTTAATGTTGACAAGCCAACGAAGAGTTGACGCAGTCTTTCAAGATTAGTTGACACTTCCACGTTTTAGAGATAATTAACTTTTTCCCTATGAAGGGAAGCGATTTAAAGTAAAATAGGCTATGGCTTCCAACATGGCAGCCATTATTTTTCGTCGTGTCAATTTTTGCGGAAACAACGCATTGAAAGAGTGTCTTTAAAACATCGTGTTTTATCTTTTCATGGTGTGAATTTCTGAAGCGAGATGACATGTTCGTGTGCTTGTAATGTAGAGATGTGCACTTGTTTTACAGTGTTCCATTTCTGACCATCTGTTGCAACTTGTTTACAAAATGTGCACAGGTTAGATGACAGTCATTATTTCTTGGTAATGTCTCTTATAAATAATTTTATGGTATCTATTAGTCATACTTCCATGAAATAATTCGTTATTTGTTCTGTTTAGGCTGAGATGATAACACATGAATACATCTATAATGATGAGTCAACCTAGAAAAATAAAAATAACCGATCTTAACCCACATCTCATTTGTGTTTTGTGTGGTGGTTATTACGTTGATGCTACAACTATAATTGAATGTTTGCATTCGTGTAAGTATTATTTTTCTTATTTTTTGTTCATGAAATTTTATGCTCTGTATATGTTGAGAAAACTTCTTGCATTAGTGAAGTCAAGTCTATATGACATTGAATTTTTTGGTCAAATTAATATCCAAATGTATATTCCTTATTTATTTATGGCTGTATTTGTAATCTGTGTGACTTAATTTTGTATATACGATCACTACATTAATGTATGCTTTAATTAGAATTTATGGTCGTAGGTTGTTTTAATTTCTTTGTTTTTTAGTTTGCAAAGCCTGCATTGTCCGATACCTGGAGTCGAATAAGTATTGCCCAATATGTGATGTTCAAGTGCACAAAACAAAACCACTTCAAAATATCCGTGCTGACAAAACCTTGCAAAATATGGTTTATAAACTGGTTCCAGGCTTGTACCAAAGTGAGTTTATTTTCCTGATGAAATGTAAATATTTTTATTGGTGTCTAGTTCAGAATTTTAGTTCTTTTGTGTGCTGGGTGTAAGAACATGACAGTGGTTTGACATGGCAGGCATGAACATAAATTTGTGGCATGTGCAACAGTTTACATTTGCTGATAATTTTACTCTTTGGAGACAGTGAGTGAGTTATTTATTTAATTCAAAGAACATTTAAAGAAGTGTGTGTGATGTGTAGGAAAGAAGTACCATCTGTGTTGAATTTTTTTTATTGAATTCCATTTCAATGTTTTAAATCATTTTTGTCAATGTTAAAATCAGATGATGCGAGTAAAACATTGCTGATTTAAATAAAAATAAATTTAAAATTATTATAATAGTTATGTTAATTTCAAAGAACTAACAATTATAAACTGTATTTAGAAATCTAGATGTAAATATGTCTAGATTTATTTCCTCGAGGTGATCTGCCTGGGAGAAGTGCCAGATGATTTCACCACGCCTCCAGTATTAATCATGGACCTTGTTTGTGTGTGTGTGTGTGTGTGTGTTTTTCTCCGAAATTGCTGAGTTATGAATCGAAAATCTGTTCTTGCACTTATCTCTTATGTATTTGTTCTACATGTTAAGTTAATTTACTACAGTTTTTGGAAAATCTTTGGACGTGACATTAGTAAAACATTGTGAAAACATGTATTGCAGTAATAGAGAGGGTGGTTAGAATGCACTGGAACAAAAACCTAACCAAGACTTTAAACTTATATTGCGGATCAGTTGGTTGAATTGTTACCCCCTTGAATAATTCAATTGAGCTATAATAGCAGGTAGATTTTTTTTCAATGTGAATTAAATTTAAAACTCGGATATTCTTTTTAATCGTGATTTTTAAAAACCCTTATTTTTGCTAATTATTTTGTGTTTTTACTTTAAATGTTTCTTTCCATAAAGTACGATTTGTAGCACTGTCCCTGATTTATAATAGTAATATTTATCTCATGTGTGAAATGAGGCTTAAAGAAAGTTAGAAACCTGAGGAAATTCTGTCTTTATTTATCTCATTGGTTTTTTGTTGTGTTTTTATTTTCTTAGGTTTTCTCATTTGTGGGATTGTCTCTCCTCAGTAGTTTTTTTTTTTTTTTTTCCCTCTTTTTTTTTGAGAATGCATACATTGAGAGGAAGTGTATTGATATGATCTGAAAACAAACTATATTATATATTTATAACGGTTAAAATTTAGTATAAGGTACACCCTTAGAGAAGCGTGGCGACGGGGCGTAAGCCCTAATTACGGTACGTGCTCTAATAGAAAGGAATAAAACTTTCGGATAGGTTTCGTGGTTGGCCCATCATATGCTTTGCCCCTGCTGCATTGTAACACCAATTTACTTTCAAAGGCAAGTTTTCTCGCTTCGGTCGCCCGGATCCAAGTCACGGCGAGGCTCGGGCCTTGGGCCCTTGTGTTCACTATAAACATCCGTGAGTCTATCAAACGCATAATTACCAATTCACTTCTATAAGACATCACTTTTCAAGAAAGCCTCCAGAATTCTATCTGCCTAGTTAACGCTGGAACGGTGCGAAGTGCTGGTTTAAACGACTTCCTTAGGTTGTAACATACATTTCAGCCTTTATAACAAACCATACAATATATTTATTACGTTTCTAATGTTTAGGGATAAAAATTCTGTTTATAAATAAAATGAGAATCCATATCAGCATTAGCTGTATGCGTCATAAGAAACTAATTTTGAAGTTCTAATTAGTATGGAAGAGAAAATAAATAGTAGTATTTTAAGTAGTATACAAAAAAAAAATCCTTAATGTGATTGTCATATGTTTATGAAAATGCATGACATGAAAATGCTTGCCCGAGATTAAATAAATCAGATAACTTACTTGTAAATGAAAAATCAAGCAATATTTCTAGTTAAGTAGAGGCCAAACAAATAATATGGATAACGATTCTACAAAATTGTATGCCAAATTTTAGGTGAAAACAATATTTACCTTTCTAAAATTTGAAGATTGATGAATACTCCATAATGTAAAAGATTTAAATACTTAGTACATTGTACTTAATTTTAGGCAAATGTATGTTTTAATTTATATTGAATTGAAAAGTGATGATACTTGGTTGACATCAGCCAATTGTACTTTGTGATTTTCAGTTGTTACATACAAACTTTTTTGAAATATAACATTTCGTTGAAACATTTTAAATCTTTTACTGACTGATTCTGAAGTACTCAAAATATACTGTAGTATCAAAATGTGTCTCCTTTGTAATGTCAGGAGAGCGAAGTGCTTTTGTCCTGTTTCTGACTAAAGAAGCATATCGTGTATTTTATCAACGCCTCATTGACTTGATGGGTGCTGCAAAATTGAATGCTGTAATTGAGGAGGTCATTGTAAAAAGGGTGAATACCTGTCTACAACCATTTTAGGGAGACTGTTTTTGGATTCCTTATGATTTTCTTTATAAATGTGCAGTATTTTATTACAAAATTTTTGAATTTGTATTCACAATGATGATATAAAGAATGCTGAGCACTGTGCCTGTTTTGCTTGTTGACGAGGTTCTGTTATTTGACTTGTGTATGGTGAGTTACTATTGACATGTTATTACTTGAAGGTATTTGAAACTGAGATCAGTTTACTTTCATTCTGTTATGTCAAAAAAATTCAAGAAACCTTTTATGTTGTTAGACGTAGGACTTCTTTTCCCATTATTCCAGTAAAAATGTACTATATGCTGTATTTGAAAACATGTCTGACATATCTCCTTAATAAGGTCATATAATCTTAATATTAATTTCACATATTTCTTTATTAATTTAGGAAAATGTATTGCATAATTATATTACATTGCATAATTTCATAATGTTGCATCCTAGAGTTATAGTCTAGAAAATGTTTCTGACTTCATTGTCTCAAAACATGGTAGTTGAGTATGTGCCCTCAAAATGTGAAAGTTCAGCCAGTTCATTGTAAAAATTACAGAAACCACCTCAGTTGTCATTCTGTTCTCTTGGCATGGTTACTGAAATAAATGAATGAATACCAAAGAATGTCCTACTTGTACCAACTTGTCTCCAATTTATGCCATGAAACAGAATGAGTTCATTGACGTATCTTTTTGGTATTTGAATGCTCATATGTTCTTACTTGAACTGTTGGCCATGTGCTAAGCCATGGCCTACATGAGTTCCTTTCATTCCATACATGGAATGCTGTAACCAACATTTTTGATGTTCAATGTAGGAATTCTTTCTGTATTCTCTCTCCCTCTCTACCTTGTAAGATATTTCTTATCCTTCATTAATCCTTTTCTTCAGACATGGCCAGTCTCACAATTCTCAAAGGGTAGTAAAGTTGTTGTTCATTAATTGTTAAATATCTATTTTAGTACTAAATATGCAATGTGAAATTGAAGGCAAGATTTTATAACACTACTTGTTTTTTGTCCAAAAATCCAACTGGTCTTTTTAAATCTTTTAAATGTTTCATTTTAAACTTGTGATGCTATTTTTGTGTTCATTTTATGATATGTACCGAAAGATGTGAACATGTCTGTCCATGAAATGTGAAATTGTGTTTCTTCCAGTTAATGTTGAAATTAATACATACGTTTTAATAATTTTTAGTAATTGTTCTCAATAATTAAGAATTCCCAACTTACAATTGGAAGAAAGGACAATTGCCACTGGTTCTAAAACTCGTATGGTTTGTCTTAGAATCATATTTTTTTTTAGTTTAGTAGAGAATGTTAGTTTTCAATTTTTATCTTTACAGCTTGTTTGACAAACAACAGATTAGAAGATATATATATGCGATTTCTGTTGGAGCAGCTGTGGTAATTCATGGTTTATTGGTATCCAGCCACAATCACTTTGAAAGAAACTTATTATTGTTTGGACAGAGGAGTCATTACTTCATAACACCATTAACATTCAAGTTCTTCAAAACAAAAAAATCATGGTTACTTGGCATTTAAAAAATGTTGTCCATTATTTTTTGAGATATTTAACATCAAATAGTTCTTGTAAGATTTTAAATTATAAATTTTCAACCAGACTGATGAAAAAGTTAGAATTGAGGGAGGGTTGGAAAAAGGACATACAAATTGATTATTGTAATCAAACCATAATTAACATTAACCTCCTGGGAATATGTTCTTTCTTTAGTGCTATAGAGAATGCGTCTAGCTTCAATTTCCATACAGCCTTGTTTAATTAATGTGGAGATTGGGAGATATAATGGTTTTTATAGGCATCATGGTAAATAGTCTCTGACAAGATGAGTTTTGTACTTAATACTCTTATATATGAAGTTGGATTATGGCACCTCACGTTTTTAATTCAAAATGTATTTTTGATGTCTTTCATGTGAATCGATGTTCATTTAGTTCCCGATATCGACAAACAGTTACCTTTCCATGTGAGCATCCACCGCCTTTAAGTATCTTTAAGTCACATGCTTTCACCAAGAACGTAAGGGGACCAGTTGTGAGGGATTTTACTGTTTTGTTAAATCAAAGGAAGGCATAAATCTGGAATGAGAGGGTTGTTTAAAACTTACTCCATTTTTGAATTTTATTTCCTTAAAGTAATGCTGAAAGAAAGCGTTTACATTTTGGAGTTTCCAATTCTATTAGATGGTCTATTTTTAATTTTTCTATGTGAAAATGTTTGTTTTGTTGTATAAAAAATTTGCATATATTTGTCGAGTGTGTACCTTGCTGTTATAAAACATCCTAAACAAACATGTGAAGCTAGAATGTGAATTTTTATTATTATTATTATTATTATTATTATTATTATTATTATTATTATTATTATTATTATTATAGATGAAATGCATCGTAGACGTGACTTCTATGCTAAACATCTTGAAGCAATTCCTACAAGTAATGAAGATGGAGGAGAAGTCAGTGAGAATTCAGATATATATACACCTGATGAATCATTCAGTTTATCATTACAGTACCTAAATACTGAAGAAGATGACTTTTCTGGGGTGAGAATATTTTTGTTTTTTTCCCCAAGATTTATATGAAACAATGTTGAATGGTTTTCCTATTTAATTGCAGTGGTCTTGTTGAGTATTATGAAGCCTTGCATTTCTTTCTTTAACCCTTCAATATGGGGCTCTCGAGTTGTGTGAGGGCATTTCAAGTTGTCTTTATGTGAAATGTGTAGTTGGCGGCACAATGAGAGCATCCATCGAACTGAGTGCATCCACCGCGGCCTGCTGTGGGATTGTCTCTGTTCAGGTGGCATTGCTCTTTCCTACTCTAAAAAATGCACTGTATTCTGAAACAGTTATACAATGCACTGCATCTTCAGAATAATGATATGGAAATTGGGAAAACGGGAAATAATAACTGTATAACAAGTTGATTAATTTGTCATATACATCTGTGTTTGAACAAACCAAAATTACAATTATTATAAATATTAATACACATTTTTATCCTCAAATATTTTGAAATAATATGGGTATTTGGCAGTCGCAATAATGTAATATGCTAAGTATCATTTAGAAAATGGATGAACTCTAAATAAATTAATTTAAACTACAACCACAAAGAAATATAAAATCTTAGTATTGAAAACCACACAATAAGAAGGCAAGTTTGCTTTAACACAGCAAACATGGCGGCCAGCAACTGAGAAATACACACTGCATATGAGAGGAAATGCAGGTGAAGGCCCCTTCCCCCTGCAGAAGGATGGCATACAGCGAGTAGAAGTAAAAGGGAATTGTCCGCTGAAGAAGGCGTACCATGCTTAAGTGTTAACTTTACAAGTCTTCTGGGTGAAAGAATAACAAACAAGTTCTTTAAATAATCTTCATCATTAAATGCGTAAATGAGCATTTATAATTTATGTAGATTCTGAGCTTGTAGAGCTTAGTAAATTAACAAATCATGTCTTTTTGCTTTCTAAAAATAAAAAATAAAAATTGTTATTATTATTAACATATTTCAACGAAAACTCAACTCATTTACTTCTGCCTCACTAAAGCAGAGGGAAATGTGTCTAAGCTAGCATAAATTTGTACAGAAGTTAACCATGTTTTAATTTATATATTTTTTTCTACTAAATAATTAAAATAGTTTAGAGCCTTTTTGAGTAGAATTCTCTTCTTCATTATGAACTGACCAGAAATGAAAAATAATACTTGCAGGAAGATTTAAAAATATTGATGTAAAAGTGACTTTTGGTGAATTTTATTGTGTACTGCTGACTTTCTTTGTGAAACAATTATTTATTTATTACTTTCTGTACATTGTACAGACAGATAATTCAGATAATGTCCTTGATCATTACTAGGGAGTGAATTTCTATGATTTTGCATAGTTTTGCCTATTGCTCCAGGGTATAGCAAGGTGAAATTTTTTGACGTTTGGTTAGAATTGGATTTTGTGTAGGTTAATATGTTAGTGTATATTTGGCGGTTTTTTTCTGTTGGTGCATATTCACGTAATTATAAGAGCATATTTTTCATTTCTCGTTAAAATATAGAAAACATTTCATGTTTTCATAGAATTTATTTATTTGTGAACTTTCATTGATTAGAAAAGTTTTTCAGAATTTGCTTTTCTTTTCTATGGATGTTAAAGGTCTTCTGCAAATGTAGGATATTTCTTGCTATCATTTTTTTTTAACCAGGCAGAAAAAGTGATAGAATACTTACAATGTACTTCACTAAGGCACATATTTACTCAAGTTATTTCTCCCGAGAAGAAAGTTAGGTTTTATTATGTTAGCACAAAAATATATTTTTTCATTCCAAGCCATGTCCCTTCTGAATTTTATCAACAAAGGTTTACTCAGGAAATGAAATATAGTTAATTTCATATTAGAGTGCATTTTTCAGAATTTTTGGACATAATTGCATATATTAAAAAGCATATTTCAAGATTTTGTAGGGCACTCCTCTCCCTAATTATTGCAGAGCTCAAATTGCACATACCAATATTGTCAGGACAGTACTATAAAATTTGCCAATAATCAACATAATAGAAGAAGAAAACTGTAATATGTTCCATGACAACTAGATGGAGAAAGAAAAAAGGAGGGGGGAAAAAAAAAGAAAAAGAAGAAAAACACACACACAATTGAGCTCTACCCCGCCTTGCCCTTTTTCTCAACACTTTCATTCTTACAAATGTGTGAACATTTCATATTGAAATGAACTCCCTTCTTGACTTAATTTAAGTAACTAAAATATAAAACATGGATGATAATTTATATATTGTAATTCTTCTTCTGCTAGTTACATTATTAAGCCCACAAATCTCTTATTATTTTCTCCCAAGAAATTGCCTCCAGTGGTCTATTTGATTGTCGTCTATTGTTATTTAAATATTCTTCAATTTGCATATTTGCTTTGGAGAATGCCACCTTCATCTTCTTCGCTTGAATTCCTATTTGTACCCATTCCTGGAATCCAAGTCTGCTCCTTCTGTAGAGATGCCCAGCAGTCATCTTCAGTCACATCCATTACATTTCTCTGCTGCCATATTCCTTATTTCTGTATTCTTGTTATTTTCTTGAGGTAATTTTTTGTTCTGTATAATGCATCTTAATTTAATAAAAGTTTAAGTTAAATTAAACAAAAGAAGCTCCTTCATAAGTCATTAAAGGAAAAATCTTTATACTACAATGACAACCACTTGTTCAACTTGTTTCTGTCCTTTTGCAAGTTGTTAAATTATTCGTCCTTTGTTTAATACTATTATTTTTATCTCATAAAGGAGTTCTGGATTCATTTTCTATAGATGTTTTCAGAATTTTGAAGATTTCATTGCATATGTATTTTTGTAATGAAAATTTCTTTGGATACTAGGTTTTCAGAATATAATACCCTGCCATCTACATCTCAATAATCTCAATTTAATGTTTGATTTCATATTGTTGTAGGAGTATTCAAATAGACGCTTCCTGAGATGTCCAGCTGCTGTCACAGTATGTCACCTGCAGAAACTGATACGTGCAAAGTTCGGTCTTTCAATAGAGCACAGAGTTGATGTTCTGTGCATGGGGGAAACTCTTCAAGAAAATTTAACTCTCATGGATATTGCATATATATACAGATGGAAAAGGGTAAGTGCATGAGTATTCGTTCAATTGTAACTTGTTTGAAAACAAATAAGGTAAAAACACCAGTGGCATCTCCTGAAAGGTCGGGTAGGTAATGCAAATAGCTTGTCAATAAAAACACTAGTTTCTTTAACTACTTACTGAGACCTGGCGCTCAAGCCCCATTGTTTAGTTACTTTTTGATACCCAAAATTAACAAAGAAAATAGGAAGTAATAAGAAATATATTATATTATTGACCATATAGCAGGAACTCAAAATGTTACAGTATTTTTACACATTAGAAGATAAAAATATGGAAAAAAAATACTGTTGCGACACTAGACCCTAAGGTGTCTCATTGTAGACTGCACGTTGTTTCTGTATCAACATTTATGGAGATTTTAAGCTGTATCACTTAAGCCCCATCATGTGGGGCTATATTGATACAGTTTTGATTTTTGTTAAGAGTTGGGGTAAATCTTAACTTATTTATTACTTATTACATGTCTTTTGCACCAAAAGGCATGTATACAGGTTTTTTTGTGTGTGTTTGCTGCGAATGGTATAGAAGATATGGTGAAAAGTTTGCTTTTCTATATCTTAAAAGTCCTGATTGATCCTAATTCTCGGAAATTAGAACTTCACAACATTGTCCACAAGCTCGAAGAAAGTTATACTACTTAAGATGTTTAATTGCTACATAAGTAACTCCCTCTGGTGAAAAAAAAATTGAACCTCTTGCTACCATGCCTGGAAGCCAATTAACAAAATTATTGGAGCTGATGCCTTGTATACTAGATGTGTTTGTAGAATCACATCAGTCACATGATTTATATGCCATTATCCGCAAATAGGCACCCTTCTCTAAGGTCGGCCTTACAATGGAATCAAACATAGGGAATGCATGCTACTCTTTTACGCAAAACCACAGTGTTACATAACCAGGTTCTGTAATTGTCACAGTGGTCTGAAGCATCCAAGAAAGGACAATATATTTTGCGTAGAGAAAATGAGAAACGTGTACTGGAAAGATTAGAAATCATAAAACAAACCAAGTAACAAAGGGATGCGATGCATCACTTGCAGCCATTGCTGCTACGCCAATGAAAAGCACCCCTATATATCCAATGTATATCATATTTATTTACTTTGTTTTACATTTCAAGCATACAATGTCTTTCTTCATATCACCACTTTTGCCACAATCTTTTTCTTGATCTCTAATAAAAGTGCCATTTGATATGTTTTTTTGCAGTATCTCAGAATTTTTGTCATTAACATCGGTTAACATTTTACATCAATTTACAAAAATCAATCAATCAGTCAATAAAAAATTTAATCTATTTACTAATATACACATCTGTGGTTCAAATATGACTTTGCTAAGTTCAAATGTTCACAATAACAGAATAAGGTGATGAACAGAATTCAAGAAATGTAGTAGTGTCTCAAATGCAGTAGACAAGACCAGTCATTTGAATAAGTGTTGTTGAAGGTAAATCAAGAAGAGTGATCAAAACCTTAAGACATAATAAAAATATACAAGTGTATCGGTATTTTAAAGAACACTAACAAGTATTAAAAAGACACAGTATCAGCTAAATAAATTGACAGATGCAGAGAGAGAAACTAAAACTGAAAAACATTCAATGTAACTGCTTTTGTCATTCAATTTTTTTGCAAAAGTATGTAAGGAAAGTTGCATAGTCTTCTATGATTAAAATTTTGAACGTTGATGTGGTGCACAAAGATGTGTTGTTTTTCTTGAAATGGGGCACCTTTGTTCAAATGGGAGTTTCTTTGGGTAGCAAAAATAAAGTTAGAAAAATGCTTCGTTTCTTAAAGTTGCTCAACTTCCCTAGTTTGGCTATAAGGAGAATAACATCATATTTTGCTTAGTCTGACATATGACAGTCATGACATCGATTCTTTCATCTGAAATCCTTGAAGTCAAAATTTCCACACTGCCTGTCTGCTGAGTGTACTCTTCTGGAGGGAATGCTAAATGTAGTTTCTATGTTGCATTAACAAATGGCTGGGAGGATGTTGAGATATTCCACAGTTTTTCCTTGACTTTTGTGCTGGTAGATGACCTCTCTGAATCTTAGGGATAGAAAATATTGATTGTACTTTTTTCGGTCAGGTAAATTCGAACCTCATATTTGATGTGCTTATAGTATGTGGTGGTCAGGATTAGTCCGCATCCTGTGTCTGTATACCAAAACTGTAGCAATAATAGTGGCAGAATAGTGATTAACGTAATCAAGACTTTTTCTAATTATGTGGCCACCTATAATCTTAATATATTTAACCCTCTGCTATACTTACTGTTGACATGAATATATGTCTACATGCAAGGCAGACAGAGCGCCTGCATGTCCTTCATAAAGGGATGGAGGAATCACCAGATTTCTTCTTTCATGTAGCATTACAATGTAACATTGTAGAAATGTAACAATGTCAGATTGCCTTTTCCTTTGTGAGGAGGGTCTTGAGAAATATGTTATAGAGAGATTACTTTACTAAGAAGGGACTGCTTTGATATGTACTGCTGGCAACATAACTGTAGATAATGTTCATGCACTCAATTCATCAATGCTTTCATTTACAATTCGCTAATTTGTATATGGCTTCACAAGTGTCTCTGGCATTGCCATCGCCCTTCATGACTTTAATTTGTTTCCTGACCTATCAAACTGGGCCCTTCTCAGAGAAACTCCTCTATATGAATAAAACTTATAATCGGGATGCTTTTTTAAGATGCATGACCAATGACTGTGGCCTTTTACATGCTACGCTTTCTGCTCTGTTTGGGCTGAAAGTGATCTTCGCACACTATCACAATGGTTTGTGATACCCATTGGTTATGCACACATTGTGCCCAGAAGGCTTGACATTCCATCTCTTAAATCCCAACGTCCTCTGAATGATCTGATCTTTACTAAAATTTTATAGCAGGTCATGTACAGTGTACACCCCTGTAAACATGTACAAGCAGACAAATATTTTATCAATCAATGTGTTTCATGATAATACTGCATCTTTTTTATTTCATGCAAAGAGAAGCGTATGTGAATTTTTGTAATTTTATATCTATTGAGTAGATGTTTACTATTGTGAATATTTGTTTGCTAATTATTTTGTTTGGTTTCTATTTATATAGTTCTTTGAGTAACTTCTATATACTATTTGTGTTTTTCTTCTAATATTCGTTCATTAATGAACAAATTCTCTGGATATTGTGATAAATAAATAATGGAAATATTTTTTATCAATGGTATGTTAATCGAGTCTATTAGATTACAAAGAAAATATTTGAATCTGACCATTTAAATTGTCTTAGTCTATTGTTAAGTGCGGCCAACTTTGCCACATAATTCTGACAGATGTAACATTTAGGTTTTATTTAGTGGGCTTTAATACACACATTTAAATTCAATTTGTAATCACACACAAATATAAAAAATGGACAAGATTAGTTTTACAAACGATAAAAATTTGATATGTATATGAGCAACTGAATGAGTAGTGCCTGAAGATGACTAGTATCATCCCACGCTGTCCAGTGTTTATCAGGAGAGGTGACTCAGGGCATCAACTGATATCATTGCAGTGCCACCGACCAGGAAGCCCTAGGTTTAAGACCTGACGATGGAAGGATTTTGAACACTAATTAGATAACTGGTCGAATTCTTGCTGTCTGGTGAAGAATTCTGGTAGCTAGCTGCTCTGAGCGGTAGTTTCCATTGTTTCTCAGATCAACACCAGGGGAATGTTGGGGCAGTACCCTAACAAATGGGCCATGGACCACATGCGGTCATTCCGCCCTCGGCCTTGTTCAAGAGCAGTTCAAGAAATATTTCAAAATGTAGACCTATTTCAATTATTAATACAGTTCCCAATGACTGTTAGTCTATTATTACCAAGAAACTAAAAACAAAGATTTTTCCCTTCATTTTAAACAATCGTCATGGTTTTATTTCCAGAAGGAATGTAGAATCCAATCTTGTATGTTATACCCATATATTTTAAATTCTCTTAAAAATAATTATCAAGTTGAGTGTCTATACTGATTTCGGTCCCCGTTTATGTAATGCTGCAAAAATTCTATTTTGAGATTTCAACAGAAATATACGTTTTGGGATCCCCTGATACCGAAAAGTGTTATGCTTTTTCTTTCAGTGAGTCAGTCACGGTCAGCGAGTCATTTGTTGTCTCAGTCCGTCGGTCACAGTCACAGTCGCAGTCTCAGTCCGTCGGTCTCAGTCGCAGTCTCAGTCCGTCGGTCACAGTCGCAGTCTCAGTCCGTCGGTCACAGTCACAGTCGCAGTCCGCCGGTCACAGTCGCAGTCTCAGTCCGCCGGTCACAGTCGCAGTCTCAGTCCGCCGGTCACAGGCGCAGGCTCAGTCCGTCGGTCACAGTCGCAGGCTCAGTCCGTCGGTCACAGTCGCAGTCTCAGTCCGTCGGTCACAGTCGCAGTCTCAGTCTGTCGGTCACAGTCGCAGTCTCAGTCTGTCGGTCACAGTCGCAGTCTCAGTCCGCCGGTCACAGTCGCAGTCTGTCTGTCAGTAACAATCTGTCACAGTCTCAGTCAGTCGGTCTGCACCAGTAGTACCTAAGCCATACATAGGATTTTTCCAAAATGCATATTCCTTGGGAAATGTGGGTGGACTCGAGGAACTGCGATTTTGAGAAACATTCTTCAAAATTTGGAGGTACTTTACATAAAGGACATTTCCAAAATTTTCTCAAAACTGGCTCCCAAATTTTTTCTTTAAAATTCTTGTATGAATAGAGTAAAATACATTTGAAAAGGTGGCATATATCCGATTTTCGTAATTCTCTCAGATTTTTGAAAATTGCAAATGTTTGGATTTTTTTCAGTGTCTACTTACAGCTGCAAAATTAAAGATTTTTCCTTCAAATGAAATTTGTTCTTCAGAATTAGTTCTTTAATTAACATCGTACACTTTTTGAAAATCATAGTAGTTTTCACGCAATATTACATGCAATATTTGCAA